GTTAATTTTTTTTGGGGGGGGGTACTGGGAATTGAACTCAGGACCTTGTGCTTTCCAGACAAGCACTGTGCCACTGAGCTATATCCCCAGACCAGAATTAATATTATCAAAGCACTTCAAACTAATGAAAAATTACTTTCAGTCTATACACACATTTTTAGTCAGTTGAAATACCCATGAATCCATAGATACTTGCATGCAGCATTATTAATTAGTGTGATATGTACTATTTTTTAAAAGTCTTTAGTGATGACTTACTTTTACCTTGAATAAAGTTAAAATTCTTATTGCTGTGTTGCAGTGGCAGGGACTGAACCCAAGGCTTTTATGCTCTCTTCCTCTTGCTTTTCCTCCCCCTCGCCTTCTCCTTACTAATTTCCCTCTCTCTATCAACTTTGAGACAGGGTTTCATTTAGTACTTAGGTTTCTCAGGCTAAATTCGAACTTGCAATCCTTCTGCCTCAGCCACCCAGAGTGCTAGCATTACAGTTGTGCACCAACATACACAGGTAGAGTTTTTCAATAGAAGAAAGTATGCAAAGGAAATACTTAAAAGACTTTTCCACCAACTTGAGAAAAATGATGACATTATTATCTTGTAAAAATGGTTCACAAAAGTAGACTCTAAGGGGGAAAATCCAACATGGCCAATTTGCTATCTACATTAATGCCTCTAGTGCTCTGTCCTGTACTTTAGTGTACCACAATGAAAATAATTTATAGAAAGCCATCAAACATCGCAAATCTCAAGCAACACCCAACAAACGGAAGTGCTTTATGGCCTGAAGAAATCTCTTGACTTTCCTGCCTCTTCTCAAATTAGTCCTGCTTCTAAACTTGTGTTCTTTTGGACTGATCATGTTTCTTATGAAAACAAAGAAAGGACAAAGCCTTAAGTATGAAGGAACTTAAGCTACATATTAAAAAAAAATCTGTACAGTGATAGCAAAAAAAAAAAAAGAGGACAAAGTATTTTTGTATTTCATTTGGTTTCTTTTGTATACCTGGTTTTCAATAAATTTTTACTAAATATAACATATAACTTTTGTGTGGCTCCACTGGAGACTAAACCCATAACCTTCACACTGAGCTACCTTTCCAACCTTTTTTATATTTTGTAGTTTGACACATGGTCTTGTTAAGTTGCAAAGTTGAATTAGGACTTGGAATACTCCTGCTTCAGTCTTCCAGATTGCTGAGATTATACACAAGCATCATGATGCCCATCTGAAATACTTAACCTTAGATTTAAAGACACTAACATACATTAGCTATTCAATTGTTAGTTCCAATGATAAATGCTTATTTTCTAAGCTTAGGAGAAGGTATTATAAACTCATCTCTATGATATATTTGTTTGATAAAAATTAGATAAATTCTGGAATTAAAAAGTATCTATGTTAAATTACAGCAAGATAAGAAATATACACCAAAGTGTATGGCAAGTAGCAGCAATTTAAGGAAAATTAAAACTTATGCAGAAGAGAGTAACACTATAAAATCACTGTACAAATATGTGTGGAATAAACAGAGAGGTACAGTTTCAAGAAGCAGTAAGTCCACTGACATACTTCAAATAACAGTTATTACTGCCTACTCTATTATATTTAGATCAAAGAAAAATACAAACAATGCTTTTGATTCCAGAAAGCCCTAGAGAAACCAGGATGTTTAGAAAAGTTGGAAGACATTAAAGTCATTTTTAAGGCTGATATGTACACTATCAGGCTTCTTCTCAGCACACATCTGTGACAATCTTCTGATTTTAATTGGAGTTCATGATCATAAAAGCATTTCTGCTTACCCTTGGTACAACTACAACAATACTAGGTGTCTGCTATGTGTTAATAAACTAACATACTTTCATGGTAAATTTTGAATGTATTTTAATTAATACATTACTCCTTAGGCTCAAAACCACATTACAAGTTTCTTTATTTTAAAATGACACAATTTACTCAGCAGTTAGTATTTCCAAACTCTAAAGCTTGTAAAGTCACTGGTCCTTTAGCTATTATTTGTCTAATAGGATGGCATTGATAGCCATGTAACAGGTAGGAAAATACAAAATGTTTAAAAGCTACCTATGTTTAAGAATCCAGACCACAACGTTTCTCAGTATATAAGTGAATTTTTATCTACTTTTAGTATCAATGTTTTTTTTTCCTTTTTATATCAATGTTTTTTAAGAACTATTGACTTCTGAATGACTTTGTTGACAGACAAAAAATTATATATAAGAAATTCAAGCCTTAATGATATAAACATATAATCAATTTCTCTACAAATGTTAAGTTACTTGTTTAATACAGACATGAGGAGTAAGAAAGTTACAGGACTGTTATGAAGGACATGATAAATGCAGCCATGAATAAAAATAATTTTTAATTTAGTAGGCTCTATCAGTCTAGAAAAACCCATGAATATTTACTATTAATTCAGTATATGGAAAAGTAGATAAAAGACTTCACATAAAAGAGAGACCATCATATGCAAAACACTATGATAATATTGAGAACTATTAAAATTTTCATGATTACATATTTACATTTGAAATTGGTGAGTTTTACACTTCTAAGGAAAATATTAACATTTATTTTCCTTTATAAAATATATATTAAAATATTGGGAAATAATTGAATTCTGGTTAAGGCCTTTGTTCTGACAACAAAATCATTTACAAACTCTTGACTTCATGTGAGGTACCATTATATATATACATTTGTTCATGATCAGAGTGTTGCACTATATTTCGCATAATTATATCTCCTCAAAGCCAAATACTTCCACTAGTTGCCACCCAATAATATTTATCTACAAATAATGTAATCTTCATATGTTTTAAATGTCCTCTGTTAAAACCTTTCACTAATTCATCTCAGACTGATATAAACTCCTAGATTACTCTTTACAGTAAATATAATACTTGGGTGACTATAAGTTCAGAGTCTACTGATTGATGTGCATGGATGAAGAAACAACTTCTAAAGAACCAGACACAAATCGTAATGAAACTTTGTGGGTAGGGCCATAAGAAAAACAAAAATGGGGTACCCAGATTAACATGGGATTTTATTTTTCAAAATGGAAATTTATAATAATAGTAATAAATATCTGAGAAGTTAGATAAAATAAATTCATGGCCCATGGGAAAGTAATGGTTACAAAAATTACAGCGCAACTCAGTGTTGAGTATATGACTGTTTAAAACTCTTCACCAAAATTTCTAATGGGATTCATTATTCCATTGATGGTAATAGCTGCATCTGAGATATTCACTTCACTAGCTTCTTTGACTTTTACATTTTACTCCCAGGCCTTCTCTACCAAATTTATGAAAAAAAAAAAAATTAAACCCTAATATTCTGACATCTATTGTGCATCACCAATTAACTTCCTTCACATGCAAATCGTGGTTAACTAAAGAAACAATAGGTAGTATAACATTCAGAAAAAGTCATTCATAATTTTCTGTAGGGACTTATTCTTTCACCAAACCCTTATGGTAACAACTGGTTAACATGCAGTGAAGTCTTATACTTAAATATACTTAAAATTTTAACTCTTACAAAGATTTATCATTTTTCTCATTTTCACAATATATAGTATAGTATATGTAGCTTTTTTTCCTCTGTTAAGGAAAGAAAAAGGAGAACAGTACAATGAGAAATTTAGAGACCTATCTGACCTTGTGGACGCACTGAATATAGTCTACTTAGCTAGGTAATAACATGATACCAAAACTTAAGTTATTAGGAAAGTTCCCTAATGCTGTTATTTCTCCATTATGTCTACATTTTAACACGTTAGTATTTAGGAAGGATTGTCATTTGGTCACTGGCATTCCATAGTGCAGATAATTTAATTTGTAGAAGTACTGATTTTCTCCCTAAGGGATTTAGCAAAGCTAGTTACCCATTGACTGCAAAAATGCTTTATGTAAGCATTTTTACTTTTTTATGTAGTATTTTTTGAATAGGTTGATTATTCTTCCATAATCTATCTTCAAGTGTTTTTTCCTATTGATTAATTATTTAAATATCCAGTCTTTAAATATCCGTTTGAAAGGTGAATAGCTGTATTCTTTGTAGAAGCATGATTTTTGCAGTGTGGGGCATTGATTCCAGGGCCTTACCAATGTCAGAGAAGTGTTCTCCCAACAGAGCTATATCTCTGGACTGAAAGAAATAATTCCTATTCACAGCACAATTATTCAACACTTATATTGAAAAAGATGGGCAAAATATCCAATCTATTCATAGTATTTGTAAAGATTATTTTAAAATTAAATATAGGGAGCCTCCTATGGCCACAATTGAATACTGGTAATTTAAAAACATGTATTATGTCTTTTAGCATAAATTTCAAATATACTTACTAAAATAATACTCCAATTTCTTCCTAAAATCACTTGAAAAATAAACAGTGACAATATACATAAAAGAGCTTACGTTGTGGAAAAGGGTAAAATTGATACTAAAAATAGTGTACAAGTAGGAAACAGATTTGCTCAATCTGGTCTTGCCTATTTGTTGCATGCAGTTTTGAAATACCTACTGATCCATTCACTGGGAAGACTAATTTATATTTCCCCATGAGTTCATAAAAATGTATGTTTTAATCCAAAAAGCCGATCATAATCTTTTGCATATTGTTGCTATCCTATCATGTGAAGGAAAAGGACAGTGGTCCTGAAGGTACTGAGAAAAACAAATAGCAGACCTTCCGGAACTCAGAGATAGCAATTAACACAAACATTTCTCTTTTTGAAACATACTGAGAAACAAACAGTCCCATACCGTTTTACAAGAGGGTCCCCAAAAAGCAAGTCTTCATGTAAGCTTCTTTTTTGTTGAGCAGACTTATTTATTAATACTTAACATATTTTAAATGTTTATATGATATTATTCTTCATGATGCAGAACTGTATTTCACTCTATAATTATGATCGAGTTCATATACTGAACATGAAAAACAAGGGCCATGTAATCATAAATTACCTTTTTCAATATGCATCCTCTTTGACTCATGTGCCATGTCGTGACTGGCCAAATCTCCCTCCTTTGGTCCAGGGAGTACATTTGGCGATAAACCCATCAGCATCTGGTTCATCGACAGCCCATTCTGATGGACAGCTGTTAATCCAAAAACAAAAGAATAAGGACAAAACATCATAACACAAAAGATTCAAACAGAGCAGTCAAACTTGGACTCAAATACAATAGAAATGAGCAAATTTTAAAATTATAATCATCCTAAAACGGTAATTTATCCTTAAAATTATAATTATCCTACAATAATTGTAATTGTAAGTATCCTATAATAACAGGAATAATCTTAAGGAGAAGCAGAAAATATTGAAAACACTATCATTTTACTTTTGTTTCATACAGAATAACATATTTTTAGTGGTTAGAATAATTATAAGTAGCCATATTACACCCACTACCAATGAAACCCTCTATCTTTTAATCTAGAGCACTGATTTCTTTTGTCAGTAAATAAATACTTGATTCCATAACAGCCACAATCTTACCATTAGAGTGTTCTTTTTACACAGTTAAAATTTAATAAGCACATTCTAGTGACCTGAAAGGGCAAAACAGAGTTTTCTACTACTTAAAACACTGCAAAATGGTCTCAGTGTCCTTATTCTAGTCTAGTCAACAGAACACAAACTATAATATGTGTCAAAATACTTCTCTACAATTACTTTTGAATTCAAACTTGAAAATAAAAGTGATCAATGAATTCCTACTGAATGACTGAATAAATAACAACAATAATTGTTTTCCTGAACTGTTAACAGTGATGTTACTTCTGAAATAGTAAAGCACCATTACTACTGAGCTGATTAAAAGTTCACGATTTCTACAGCCACATCAGTACATTTATTTAATGAACTGCTTGTGAAAACCTTGGTTTTATACAAAAATTTAGAAAGAAGAAATTTACAGAAACCTTACTTTCTTTGTAAAGTAAGTATTTTTTAAAATATTAACAATTTCTGTGTGACAACCAGAATTAGTAATAATTGCTTCAAGGATCAATGATGATTCTTAAACTAGTAGGCGAAAGTTTGATGAATGGAATAACAAAAGGCATGAATCACTTAAAATATTTCCTCACACAATATTTAGTATATTCAAATATTAAAAAAAGTAACATTGTAGTGCAAAAACATGTAGTCACCACCTTAACAAAATAATAAATTTATCATCAGTAATACAAAGATCATTCACTAGGAAATGATTCGCTGGGAAGATACCCTCTCATGGCTGTGTGATCCCTGCCAGAAATGCAAAAGCTAAAGCCAATCATGAAAACTACAAAAACAATCCAAATTCAAGAATACTGGACAAAATAAATGCTTGCACTCATCAAAATTACTAATGTACCTAAAAGAATAGACTTAAGAATTATCCTAATTTCTTTAACGGAAACTAAGGGCTTGGGATTTAGCTCAGTGGCATAAGCACCAGCCTGGCAAGTGTGAGGTCCTGAGTCTGATCCCTGGTGCTGAAAGAAACTAAGGGAACAGCATAAAAAATTGCGTGGTGTATAATTAATGCATTAGTGTTTGAAACTAGAAAGAAAATCATGTGTTATTAATGTGAAAATTGGTTAAATTTAAACTAAACCTAAAGTTTAGATAATTATGTGCTTATTTTTAAATAATCATTATTTTGAGGTTATGCAACATAATTGTCTTGCTTGCAGAATATAAACAAGGAAATATTGACAGTAAAGAAGTCTTATGTCCAAGAAAGGAGGCACTGTTAAAATTTTTCCTAATAACAATATCTTTGTCAAACACTGATTGATTGATTGATTGATTGATTGACTGATTGACTGGGTGAATTTGAATGACAAGTATGTAAGGTCTGTGTGTGTTAAGGTTAGAAATTTTCTGCTAATCTAAAATTATAGTTAATTATACATTAAAAACAAATGTGTGTATATTTGAATACATACATGCACACTTGTGTATGTGTCCATATTTGCTTATATTTCCACTTAAACAATTAGGGTAGTTAAAGGACATGACCATTTTTTTGCAAATATACAAAATATATGAATATTAATAAAATAACATGATATATAACAAAATTGTTATAAATCTTCCCCAGTCCTTTGTTTCTCTTATTTCCTTTCAGCACATCATAAACTTATGATGATAGTAATTATTGTAAAACCTCTGACGTATTAGAAGCTGAATTTTCCCAATCCAGAAAGTTATTGATGGTTTGGGATAGTTATTAAATGATACTTTTTATCACTAATAAATCACCATTGTTTCATTAAATTGAGAAATTAGAAATAAATCAAATATTACATGTAACATTATGTATAACTATATAATCGCTAATTGTAATTGATTTTTATTTATAATCCTAGCATATACAATTCTTCACACTTTATACTGATACTCAGTACTATACAGATTTAACAAGTTTTGCCTGTTGCAAACTTTTTTCATAACATAATGAGATACTTTCAAAAAATATTTTCTGTTAGGAAGATATTCTTAGCAACGAACTAATTCCAATAAATTTTGTGCAATTAGTTAAAATTTATTCTATGAATGATTTTGTAATGTAATAAATATGCTACAAAATAATATATCAGCTTTGTGTACCAAGATAATCTCTTAAAATGAGTCTATTTTGCTGAAAAGATGTTCAATTCTTAATACAGACAAAACAAACAACTTTCTAAAGAATAGCTTCTTAACTCTAAATTTTTTATCTATGGGGACCAAAATACATGTAAAAATGTGATAAAAAAAAAACATTATTCTTCCTTTAAGTTTTTAGTAACATATAACAGTACGTAATATTAATGACTAAATTCTAAAATCTAGCCAGTTAAAAGTTTTTTAATTCATGGATCATGTGAATGATGATATATCTTTATCTATTTATCATTTTAATCTACTGCCTTGAATTCGATTTCTTTTATTCCTCTTCATGGAAATCTTCATTACTGCAATGATGAATCTTTAAACTTGGTGAATTACAAAAATGAAGAAATGGGACTGAAGGAATAAAGTTGAATTATCCATAAACAATACAGTCAAATGGATTTTCGAGAAGAGGTTGCTTGCTTCAGAAACTAATCTAGAAGGTTACTTACATTTTCTAACTGTTTCATAGCTCAACTGTTTATATGTAGCATCAAAGACAGAAAGTTTCTATCAGAACCTGTTAATGTCATATCATACTTCACCATATTCCAAACCGGGAAACATAATTTTGAGAGATGGCTATTGCTACACAGCTTCGGAACCTGTTATAGCCGAGAGATCTATTTGGAACGAGGGCATTTTGATTAGAAAAGCCAGCTGCACCTAATAAAGTGTGAAACGGTGACAAGTAGAAGCATGAGACCTACGGATTCTGTCTGAAGAGCTCTCAGTCCGTGCTGGGGAGCTGGACACGCTGCTGCTGCGATGTGAGGAGGGGTGACTGCCGGGCCTTCTACCCTCCTCCAGAGAGGGCGCGGGAGAGGGGCTATCGGGAACGCGCTCCTGCACCACCGTGGAGAGGAGGAGGAAAAACAAAACGTGAATTCAGTGGGTCGTGCTTAACAGATCTTATTTTCCCTTAAACACAATAATTACTGTGAACAGAAAACAACATTTCACCAGACTTACACTGTACTAAAAAAATATATTTCATTTTAAGCAAAACTTAAACCAGCTAACTTTAAATTCTTCAATGCACTGATCATCTGACTCAATTTTTTTTTTTTTTTGGCACAATAGGGAGGAAATGAGTATGAAACTGGGTTAATAGGTAAGCTTCACTGTGGTCATGGTAGAGGTCAGTCTACTCTTTGGAGCAAAAATGAGCCTGAAAAAGACAACCAAAAGCAACCACGAAGAACTTATAGAACGTGAAGAATCAACGGAACAAAGTAAGGCTCAGTTTTACATACGCATTTGTTTGAAGAAATTTTAAAACATGGATTCTTGTTTCAGCAGACATCTGAAGATCACAACATGCAAACTATGTGACAGACATATCACATATAGCATGTGTAATACACGTAATATTAACAGGAACACCAGAGGACTTGTCAACACCTATTTCATTATGACATACTTAGGCAGTCACAATCTGAGTTATCATACGAACACATTATTTAAAATTGTAGCAATTTTCATTGATTCAAATAATTTCAGAGTACCTATGACCCCTATCTCCATCTGAACCAAACAAATATATTAAAGGAAAACTCACATACTATGTATTACTTGTGTTTAGAGAAAACTGATACCATATTTCCTGTACTATTGTATGTAAACACTCATATCCAGACTAAACTTCCTCCAACTAAGTTCTGTACCTTTGCCATAATAGTAACTTGCAAGTACATTATATAAATGCCTCCAGTAAACTATTATAAATGGAGCTATAAAGTTAACAATTAAAGTATAATTGGCTTGTACGGGGTTAAAGTTTCCAAAATAAAAAGTTTACTTAATAGAGAAAACAAAGAGGAGACTTAAGGCTTTGTGTGGCCAATGAGCATGGCGAAAAGGGAACTGGATAGAGCAGTTCCAGTTAATGGGGCTTCACCACTGTACTGAACCACAGGGTCAACAGCAAGTTCTTAAGAATGGCTGTGCCTGGGCTATCCACACAGAGATTCTCATTCAAGAGTGTTACAGCTGAATTCTGTCCCCAGAATAGGCTGTTGCAGTCATAATCGCCAATGGGTTCTTTTGCTTAAGACTTTAGCTACAAACTGCTGAAAGATCAAGGCTAATGTTGGGTCATATAGCAGCCAGCCAAGGAAGGCCAAGGATGACCAGGCAACACCAGAAACGTGCAGAGGCAAGGAAGGTTCTGCATAGGATCTCAGAGTGCTCATGGTTCTCTGATATCTTGACTTTTGATTTCTCAATTGAAGAAATGGGAGAGAATAATTTTTTATTGTTTTAAGTCACTCAGAGTGTGGTTGTGTCACAGTGGCCCTAGGAAACTAAGATAGTACTAGGCAAGCAGTGCCCAGGCTTTCTGAAGGTTCTGCAGGTGACTAACGTGTAATGAAAATCAAGAACCACTCATATCTTCATACCCTTTTTCAGTGCTGTTACATTACAATTAAAAATCTTTAACAGGTATCCTGAGACTTCACTTCTTCTGCAAGGCCTGACAAAATGAAAATAAGCAGAAAGAAAGGCCAAGTCCTATTCCAAAACCCATGACATAAAATGATTTTCCAACAAAATAAAAATTAATTCTGTAAAAAACTATGACAAAAGATTTCGATTATCCAACAATATTTTAAAGAGAAATAGTGCTCTGCAAAGGTACAATGTATTAAAATGTAAAAATGATAACTTTCTGAACATTAGGATCAGTTGGACTGGTCTAAACAATGGGAATCGGGTTCTTAAAGGATAATAAAAGATTCCAAAGTACAGATGTGTTATTAATATTGTACATAACCCTAGCCATTTCCTTTAATTGATAATGTGTTAAAAATTAAGAGCTCTATTTTCTACAAGTATCAAAATTGAATAGTAGTTTGATAAATATAGATATGTTTTCTCAATGCAATTCCTGTGAAAGGTTACCAATGATTATTGACTAGAGAAGAAGAGAAAAAAAGGAGGGAGACCACACTCATGATCCAAACCTGGTAATTCAAAACAAGCTTGTTCAGGAAAATGTGTGGCATGTAATGCATTTAATAGAGGATTAAAGAAAAATATCAGGCAACAGTAAAATTTGCCGATTAAAATGTTTTGAAATTTCTACAATCTTTTTGCTAGCTCAATGATTTTCCCACCATAATAAATTTCTTGCAGTGCTAATAGAAAGCATGAGAATGTTTTCTTTCTGAGATACTTAATTCATTAAAACTTAAATATTTAGTGCATAAGACTCAAGCAACAATAGTTCTGCCATTAAAAAGAATTCTTTGTCTATCTTAACATTTTCCACATAAGTATAAAAAGGTTACATTAGTCAATATATTTAATTGGGAAAGCTTCCTGTGGTGATTCCTTTAATCCATGAATGATTTACTCATTCTTTTATATAATCAAAATACTCTACAGATCACATAATAAACTAAATAAAATAAAAATAGATTAAAATCTTAATGTAAAATACATTTAAAAGCACAGCTTAACACTTAACAAAATAATGGTAAAACTGTAGTATTAGCTTTGGCTTACCTTTAACTGTAGTTATATATGTAAGAACAAAGAGCACAAAAACAATATGTAACACTTTTATTTAAAGGAATTATTTTAATTTATGCAAATTTCATGATTTAAAAGGTTAATTATTCAATTGAAACTTTCTATAAATTGAGACAACATATTCAGTCATTTCATTTAATGTATAATTTCAATCTTTGAAACATGATGTATTGTCCTTTGAAGAATTTCATTAAAGTAAAATCCATTGAGCAAGTTAAGATTTGAATACATTCTTGCACAATAAATTAATTTATTTTAACAGCTTAATTCTTTTATCATATTTATATGCTTTCCTTTCCAAAGTATTCTATAAGATGGAGAATAATGGAGATAGTAAAGAATTGCTTAGGAGAGAATCTCATAATAATTAGTGAAACAAAATAGATAATGAGTTTTATTCAGACATAATAAGAAAGAACTAGTTCAGTGTCTACAGGGAAACTATGTAAACTGGATTTATCATTTCATTTGTGTAATGCCCTTTAACCTCCAAGATGGGCTTGAAGTAGAACAGAGAGGAAGAACATTTAATTTAATACTTCAACACACTGCTTTATAGTCCTGCATCAACTCCACCAATCAATAAAACACAATCTTTTGCAATGTTCCATCTTTATAAAACTCGCCACAATAATAAATGAAAATTTAAGAGGAGTACTCTTACACTGCAAAAAGGTCATACTAATAAACTAATCGTAACAGAAGAACAATAAAGGGAAAGTTGCATTTACTGACACTGGGAAAGGCAGGAAGTACTGGTCCCTAGATGAATTCAGAACCAAAGGTGGAATTCAAAAGCAATCTACTCTAAAACTAGAAAACAGAAGTATAAACCATTTAGAATTACACACGTGTGATTAGACAGTTCAAAACTGCATGATGTCAGCTTCCTCCTTTCTATCACAAAAATATGTACTTTATCAATTAAATGTATCTTTCTCAAGAAAGTGTGATTACAACTCACTGTTCTAAAGGATAATTTATTTAGCTTTAACTTATCTTACTTTTTAATTTTTATTCTCTTTACTCTTATTAGTACTTCATTTAGAGATTCCCTCATTGAGTATAATATTGAAGTATGAATACTGACAATTCAAGTGTTAAATAAGTTATCTTGGCATTACTCTTTAATTTGTAAAGTTGAAGCTGACCAGTACTTTATTTATGTATAATCAAAACTCCTGTTTTAGGACAGCTCAGATTTGAATTTATCCTTGCAATAAATATTTGCTGAATACCCACAACCTGCCAGAATTCCATGCTCTGTTTACATGTAAGTAAAGGAAAGTGACAAAAATTATTTTCTTCTTGGTGTATGTATTGTAGACTAGAAAATGTCAGTGAAGTGTAGAATTCTTTACACTGATTTACTGTGACACTCAAATTCCCTTGCTCAGGCAAAAATGTGCAAAGAAGTTAATAGTAGAACTGGGATTTGGGATTCGGGAAAATGCTAAAAGATGTTTTTAAGAAATTCAATGAAAGATGCCAATCTATATGTACCTAATTCAGAGCAGGCAGTCACTATCATAAAATCCCATCATTCGAAGTCCTAAATTAAAGGTACAAAGAACATTTCAATGCTTTTTAAATTTGTTTTGATGATGAAACTCAAGAAATACTCAGCAATGTGAAATTAGTAGATAGCCGCAGTGTAATATTAAATAACTTTATTCTCCAATTGTCTTTTTGAACATATTCAGTAGTGTAAAGGGGTGACATTTTCTTCACATTTCTATGATAATTCAGGTGGGCTTATAACTTTTAGGATACTATTTGGTAATGTAAAACTGCCTGTGGCAGCAAAACATAATCTTGACTCAGGAGATATAATTCAATCATATGAAGTACTAACATGTTAAAAGATAGGATTGCTTGCTTTCCCACAATCAATAGAAGAAGGTAGAATAAGAGAAAAAAAAAGTGGAAAAATTTTAGCTCTGAGCTGGCCAGCTCTCTCTGCATGGCAAATATTTCCAGACAATTGGTCATCAAGGAAGGCAGAGTTTATGTCTTTTAAAGTACATTAGAAGCCCCTCACCTGCAGTTCCCTTGACAGGTGACTTCGTCTCTACACTTATTGGTCCCCAGAATTTCTTGTAGAGTTAGATTTGGAGCCCAGAATCTGCTTAATTTTGGAGCAAGACTGCCTCGTAGACGGGGACTGCTGCTTTAAGCAGGAAGGTATATCGTCTGCTTGGTTACGCTTATGATTGCAGCCTACATTCACAATCATAGCCCACATTCATCACCTCACTGATACTCAGGGTGTGGTGATATTACCATTCCTCATGCACTTACTTGTCAGA